CGGGTTTTTTTTTTTTTTTTTTGAAGAGAGAGCTTGCAGTTGATCTGATAGCAATTCCAGTAGAGAGTTTAACATCATGGGCTCTGGAGTCAGATAGCCCTGGGTTCAAGCCGTCTCATCACAGCTGAGGGATATGCAGAGTGAATTTGTTTCCTTTGGCCACTGGACCAAACTGCCACAAATTTAGTGGCTTAAAACAGTACAGACTTACTGTCTTACAGTTCAAGAGACCTCCAAGTCTAAAATGGGTCTACGGTGATGTGCTTCTTCCTTAGAATCTACAGAAGAACCTGTCTCTTTGACTTTTCCAGTTTCTGGAGGCTGCCTGTCTTCCTTGGCTCATGGCCCCATCCCTCCATCCTCAAAGTCTGTCACATCTTCTCTGCCCTCTGACTTCCTTCCTCCCTCTTATAAGAACTTTTATGATTACATGGGCCAACCCATGGTAATCAAGATAACCTCCACATCTGGAGATCTTTAATCTGCCTACACCTACAAACTTCCTTTTGCCATTTAAATTCCTTTTTCAATATAAAGTTACCTTTAGCCTGTACTTGTAAGTTCTAGGGTTTAGAACATGGAAACTTTTGGAAGGAGAGTAGGACATTCAGCCTACAGCAGGGAGCGAAGTAGCATTGCCTCACTTGTTGTACTGGTCCCACGAGGATTGCAATAGTTCCTACCTCACAGGGCTGGTGTGAAAATTAAATGGAGTCACACATATTGCTATTTAACACTATTATGGAAGCACATTAAGTGACCCAGGAGCTTCAGGCACATTAAAGAGAAGGGTGGATCTGATCCCTGCTCTTGGTTATTTTTGTTGTTCAGTCCTTCAGTTGTTTCCAACTCTGCGACCCCATGGACTGCAGCATGCCAGTCTTCCCTGTCCTTCACCATCTCCCAGAGTTTGCTCAAACTCATGTCTATTGAATTAATGATGCCATCCAACCATCTTATCCTCTGTTGTCCCTTTCTCCTCTTGCCCTCAATCTTTCCCAGCATCAGGATCATTTCCAGTGAGTCAACTTTTCGCATCAGGTGGCCAAAGTAATGGAGATTCAGCATCAGCCCTTCCAATTAATTCAGGGTTGATTTCCTTTAGGATTAACTGGATTGATCTCCTTGCAATCCAAGGGACTCTCAAGAGTCTTCTCCAGCACCATAGTTCGAAAGCATCAGTTCTTTGGTGCTCATCCTTCTTTATGGTCCAACTCTCACATCTGTATATGACTACTGGAAAAACAGTAGCTTTGATTATTCAGACCTTTGTCAGCAAAATGATGTCTCTGCTTCTGAATAAGTTGTCTACGTTTGTCATAGCTTTCCTCCCAAGTAGCAAGTGTCTTTTTTTTTTTTTGCAAGTGTCTTTTAATTGCATGGCTGCAGTCATCGTCCATAATGATTTTAGAGTCCCCCAAAATAAAATCTGCCACTATTTCCACTTTTTCCTCATCTATTTGCCGTGAAGTAATTATGCAGTTAGTTAAATAAATGAGTCTATACTTCAGAGGACAGTGGCATGTTGGGAATCAAAATTTGTGATTAATAAAAAGAGGATAAAAAGCACAAGCCTACATGAGTCACTTCAACAAAGGGCAGAGCATGAAAAGGTTAATGGAGCCTTGAGCGATGACAATTAACACAGGTAATGTCAATTTCTTGGCACTGTGCTTGTCACGAAATAAAAACTCAGTAAAAATACTATTGCTGTAACAATAACTATTTTTATTTTTTAACGAAACGCAATTGATTTTCAACGTTTTGTTAGTTTCAGGTGTATAACAAAGGGATTCACTTGTACATATACATATATCCACTCTTTTTAAAGATTCTTTTCCTGCATAGATTATTACAGAATATTGAACAGTACTATATAGCAGCTCCTTATTGGTTGTCTATTTTATATATAGTAGTGTGCCATGACTAACTTCTAACATACACTTCCCCCCTAATTTTCCCCTTTGGTCACCATAAGTTTGTTTTTGAAATCTGTGATTCTGTTTATGTTTTGTACATAAGTTCAGTTAGATCATTAAAACATCAGATTCTACATATGAATAATATCATGTGCTGTGTCTTTTTCTGTCTGACCTATTTCAATTACCATAATCTTGAGGTCCATCCGTGTTATTGTAAATGACAATATTTCATTCTTTTTTGTCATTGAGTAGTATTTCATTGTATTTATATATATATAAACTTCTTTATCAATTCATCTGTCAATGGACATTTAGGTTGTGTCCATGTCCTGACTATTGTAAATAGTGCAGCAGTAAACACAGGTTCATGTGTTCTTTTGATTTATGGTTTTCTCTGGATATATGCCCAGAAGTGGGATTGTTAGATCATATGGTAGTTCTATTTTTAATTCTTTGAGAACCAGCCATACTGTTTTCCATAATATCTTCACCAATTTAGATTCCCACCAACAGTGTAGGAGAGTTCCCTTTACTCCACAATCTCTCCAACATTTATTGTTTATAGGCTTTTTGATAATGGAATAATGACCATTTTTATATTAGTGAGGCTGCCACAAAGATGTGCTGGATATGCCACTAAATCCCTAGTCATGGGGCAGCAGAACATATGCTTCTTCTTTGAAAAACCAAGAACAAGCATCAGCTTCCATGGCTGGGGAATTGAATACAGCTGGCCTAGAAATATCTCTCAAGGAAGCATCTTTCAGGAAGAATGTGTGCTGGGTCCCTGTCTGTCTTTTTCCCCATGATGAGGTTGTCAGCAATCCTTCCAACTTACCCTTCACAACATGCTCAGAATCTGATTTGCTTCCCTAAATCTTTACTAAGAGGTGATTGTTACTGATTTATTTATTTAAAAATTTGATGTGCTTTTAAGCTTTATTGGCATTGCATTTATTTGTTTGTTTCATTTCTGGCCATGTGACATGTGGCAATCTTAGATTCCTGGCCAGGGATTGAACCTGCACCTCCTGTGTTGGAAGCACAGAGTTTTAACTGCTAGGCAGTCAGGGAAGCTCCTTATTTTTTTAACTATAAGTTAAATCATGTTATTTCTCAGCTCCAAGCTCTCCCAAAGGGGTAGCTCAGTTGGTAAAGAATCCATCTGCAACACAGGAGACTCAGGTTCAGTCCCTGGGTGGGGAAGATCCCCTGGAGAAGGAAACAGTGACCAACTCCAGTATTCTTGCCTGGAGAATTTTATGGACACAGGAGCCTGGCTGGCTACAGTCCATGGGGTCGCAAAAAGTCGGACTCAACTTAGCGACTAAACCACCACAACCACCGACCTTTTACAAAGTAGAAAGGAAATTTAGTGAGAAAGCCTGCGGCGGTGTACTCTGCCTGCTCCACGCCCCCCCCCCCTCGCCTTCTCACCCCAAGTCACCTTCTCACTCTTCTCTGTTAGTCCTGCCCCAGTCACACTGAACTCCTGGATGTCTTTCCTCATTCCACTCCTGTTCTTATCTTCAGGCCTCCCCACTTGCGGTTCCTCTGTCTGTAACACCCTTCCTCCAGGTGTCAGCATAGCCTACTTCCTCAGGTGTTTGCACAAGGTCACCCTGAGAAGCTTCCGCTGAACTTCCTAACCAAATCCCAACCGTCCCCCCACCTCTCCTGTAAAACCTGCTTCATTCATTACCTTCTGATGTCATCTAGACTACGAATGCACCCTTTCCTATTGTCTGTTTCCCAGAAGAATGTAAACTCCATGAAGGTAAGCTAGGGAAGTTTTGTTTTTAACTTTATCTAGTGTGATTCTGTTTTATTTCCAAAGTCTAGAAAGGTTCTAGCTAGAAGTCGCATGTGCTAAGTTGCTTCAGTCATGTCCGACTCTTTACAAACACATGGACTGTAACCTGCCAGGTTCCTCTGTCCGCGGAATTCTCCGGGGAAGAATACTGGAGTGGGTAGCCATGCCCTCCTCCAGGGGGATCTTCCCGACGCAGGGATTGAACCTGCAGCTCCTGTTGCTCTTGTGGTGCAGGTGGATTCTTCACCACGGAGCCAGGGGGAGGCCCAGCTGGAAGTCAACCTTGAATAAATATTGATTAAATAAATGAGTGAATGAGTGAATACACGAAAAGTGCCCCTAATTCAGTTTGCTAGGAAGGGATCTTCTCCACACACTCTCCCTTTGTGAATTTTTGTTAAGGTTGTACTGTGTGGCTAGCAGGATCTTAGTTCCCCACGCAGGGATCGAACATGTACCCACTGCATTGGGAGTGCAGAGTCTCAACCACAAGAACACCAGGGAAGCCCATGGGCATTTTTCTAGGTGACTAGATGGGAGGAAAGTGAAGGCCAGCTCTGTATTTGAGAGTGCCAGGACCTGGCAGGAGGTCCCTGAAGAGGAGCCTCTGGGGCACTTTGAAGCTGACACTGAACTTTGGGCAAAATATAAGTGTTCCCTACATCACTGGGGGCAGTGGCTGGCTGAATGTGGTGGAATGTGGAAAGCACAGATTTGAAATCTTGCAAAGAATGTATTGCTTTGACTGTGCCTGACTGATGCCAAAATAAATATGAAAAAAAGTCGATTCATCCCTTTTAAGTGCTGTGTACATAAAGCGCCTTTTAACTCTTCCTCCTGGCTTTTTTGACCTTGCTGTTGATATATACGCAAGCCTAAGGAGAAACTGCCTATTGTCATGATTTTTATTAAATTACAGCTTTATCCAGTAATTGCAGATTAGCTCTTAGACGCAGTCTCTGAATGGTCACTGACTCAGGCTGTGTCACGTCAGCATTTTGCAGTGTCTGAGCCCCAGTCTACAGTCAGACTCCAAATCAACGTCTTTGATTGTTAAGCTTTCTCTCAATAGCTCCGGGGTTGCCCTGCCGAGGGAAGTCCAGAGGGCACTGATGTGGGTTGCCAAATGTTTGGACTGTACTTTTATAACTTCTCTGGGAATTAAAACTTTCCTGTGGCTGGCAAAACCTTTTGTTTTGGTTGTTTGGGAAGATTTTCAGAGGCTAAAAGATTTCACCTTGTGTGTTTCTTCGCTTTGTGCTGTTCTGGTTTTAGCTCTTTTTTTTTTTCCTACAGAGGAGCTCAAACCTGTAATGCTATTGCCACAGAAGCATTAAAAAGAACTCCCCTCCTCATTTCTGCCCCGTCGTTGAACACAGCTTTCAGTAACAGGGCACAAGAACAGGATATTGGCAACTCAACTGTTAAACTGGTCTGCGATTATGCTTCCTTGAGATCACTCTGATGTCACCAGTGTAATCTGAGCCTGGAGCTTTTGTTCACACTTTAAATAGCAGTCCCGGAGTGATTTTGCTACAGACTCTCTGGAGAGCCTGGGAGCCGAATTCCCGAAGAATCCCCCATCCATGAAAGCCAAGCCAAGCCAGCCGGCCTTCAGCATGTCCACCTCGCTGCGAGTCAGCCCGTCCATCCACGGGTACCACTTCGACACAGCCTCACGTAAGAAAGCTGTGGGCAACATCTTCGAAAACATAGACCAAGAAGCATTGCAGAGACTCTTCAAAAACTCCGGGGACAAGAAAGCAGAGGAGAGAGCTAAGATCATTTTTGCCATAGATCAAGACCTAGAGGAGAAGACACGAGCCCTGATGGCTCTGAAGAAGAGGACGAAAGACAAGCTTTTCCAGTTTCTGAAACTGCGGAAATATTCCATCAAAGTTCACTGAGGACCAGAGGATGGATAAGGACGTTATCCAGGAATGGACATCTAAAGACCAAGTGAGTCTGTAAGACCCTGACATGCACAGCATCTTGCTGTTGCCTTGTAAGTTTCTCTTCCGTCAGGACTCCGGGACTCGGGGCAGGAGAGGAACAGAATGAACTGGTGACAAGGACGCCAACCAATTTCACGCCTGTGCTGTTCCAGTGGAGAAGCGCTTTCCGCAGGGATTGGAAAACTCTCCCTGCAGGAGAAAGACTGACGCTGATGTCAGGAGGAGAGTCTGAACAGATATAATGAGAAGATGACATATGGCTGAGAAAGACTGGCAGCCAGGGTCTCCTGGTCAGGCCCTAGGACTGAAATTCAACCTGAACTTTTTTTTCCTTAAACAAACTGTGCAGGGAGGAGGGAGGATGGAGAGGGGGAATAAGAGAGGGAATTCCATGCTGCAATCATTTACTGAATTTTTTATTTGAATGTTCCAAGTGTTGCCAAGATTCAATGTTGTCTATTGGTAGATTTTTTTTCTTTTTAAAGATCAGTAATTGATTATTTATTTGCATTTGTGACAATGCCTTAAAAAGTGCACCATATGATATAAGAACAAATTCAAGGAACTGCAGTATTTTCAGCATCTCGGTGAAACTGTACGCCACCTTCTGGTTCGTAAGGAGTTTTTATGCATTTCAAACTGGTTACCCAAAAGTTAAAATAATGGGGTCCTTTATAATTCCAAACTACTGTGAACAAATTTTATGGTTTTTTTTTTAATCTTCTAACTAATGGTAAAACATAATCTAAATTTCTTACAGTTACTGCAGTAAGCATTAGGAAGTGAATATGAGACACTTATTAGTTTATAAAGATGCTATGGTTTCTATAATTTATTATTCATGACAAATGATATGCAACCTTAATAAATTAATATAAACCTAGCTGCTCTTGGTGTTGGTGATTGATCTCAGAGGAAAAAGAAGATGGTGATTTTTATTATAAAGTTTTATGAACTTTTCTAAGGATTTTACTCTAACAGTAAGAGGTGCTTTTATATTCCTTGCCACACTTATTCAAAGAAAATTCTTGCTTTAAGTATCTAGGAAGTTTCTCTGTCCCAACTTTAAACTATAAAATACAGACATAGAAATGCATAGACTGGCTCATCAATATTGCTGTTTATGTACCATAGGAGGTAAGTTGTAAAAGGTTGTTCTCTCCATATTTTTTAAAATTTTCCTCTGTGGCTATAGAGTTGTGTACATTTATTTCTACCAAAGCAATATATTTGAGGGTCAAAGTCTGAATTACCATCAATATTTTGTGGCTTATCAATGTTTATGTATTACAAACCAACATGGGAATAACACTACAGTCTCTTTCCTTATTTCCTCATAGAATTAAAATAAAATATTTCTAAGAAGGCATATAGCAATGCCTGCTGCACTTTCCTAGCAGAAAGAAATTTAAAAATTCCCTAGAAACTAAGTGTTTCAGAAAAACACCTTAAAATGTTTTTGAAACTGCTGATCATAGTAAAACAAAAGTGAAAGATCTGAAATCTTTTGGGACAGCTATATATCAGGTTTTTAAATAACATATTTTATAAAAAGAAATTAAGTAGTTAAGTCTTTTAAAATATTAATTGATTTGTTTACTACAGATAAATCATTCCATGAAAAAGGAATTTTTTACATGACAGCATCCATAAAAACCACAAATCAATATGCAAAATTATGTGCATGCATGTGTGTGCATTTTTCTTGGAGGAGTATTTATCATTTCTTTCTTGCTTGCAAAGATATTCATGAAACCAAAATAAGAACAAAAAAGAAACAGTTTTGACCAGTGGGAGGCTTGGTTAGTAATGGTATTTGGAGATTATCAAAGTGAAAGCTCTGGAAAGGAATGAGTTTCCTATCTCTGATAGGGTCTGTTAGTGACACATTTTCTCTGTTCGTCCAGGATCCCCCAAAGACACTGATGAACTGCTTGAGAAAAAAAAAAATTTAGTAACTTAACTCCTCCAGAGAAGGTATCCTATTTCACAGTCCCACTGAAAGTGTTCAACTTATTTTCTACTCAAGGACTTTAAACACATCTCAGATGCTGAACAGTTGTTCAAAGTTTGCATTTATTACACATACTCATAACTATATTTTCTGCCTCTGTTGTTTTCAACAGAGAGCATGCGTATCTCACCACTTTTCACATAAGCGTGCACTAACTCAGTTATCTCACAGGATATTGCCATTATTTTCTGATTGCAAGACCATAACATGGTGGGGGGTGCAAATTAAAAAGCAGTTGGATATGATCATGATCCATGATGGTGTAGAGAATAATTCCTCTTCCTATGGATTATTGTTCAAATGTGCGATCTTCCTTCATGGAGAACAGAAGTTGGCATCAGTGCACAAGGACGATTTTTAACTTCATGGTATTTTTTACTACTTCATATGAGGTGAAGGGATCCATCACTAGAACAGGTGGGATTAACTCAGTTCAGAAATCCTTCTATGGTCCAGGAATGACCAAATATATCTCAAGACATCTCATTGTAACTGAAGAAATAAAAGCCGCAGAGGTGAATTCCTTCCTTAATATTTTTGTATCATTAGATCGTAATAGTAACAACTAAATGTCACTGAATGTTCACTATTCAGCAGACAATTTTCTAAGTGTTTTGTGTGTGTGTGTGTCTGTGTCTGTGTCTGTGTGTGAGTTAAATTGTTTCTTTAGTACCGTGGTATAAAAGAATGTTTTTGCATGTGTGTGTCTATGTATATGTAGTCATGAAAGTGAAGCATGAGGAAGTACAGTGAATTGATCAGTGACACGTGGTGAATGAGGATAGGAAGCAAACCCAGCGAGCCTTCCTTCCTAACCACTAGGTTAGACTGCTTCTCTACGAGGAACTAAAATTCTCTTTCATCCTTTGAAGTGGCAAGTACTTATATGCTATTAATAGTAAGAAAGACAGGAAAGCAGCAAGGCCTCTGAGAAGTCTGACCTGTGTCTGTGTGTCTATTTATTTGGCACCTGAACTCCATGAGGAATGCTTCTCAATCATATAAATTGTATAAAAGATTTCTCAGATGGAGCCTTTCAAATCTACAGTTACAGTAGCACCTGGTTAGCATCTTGGAACTTAAGGTCACATCTATGTTCTCTTCTGAGTTGACAGTCAAAGCTCTGGGTCTAGATTAGCTTGTTGGGGGAAATCAGAAACTAGGGCTTCATGGTTTCACTCCCTCAGTGTAGACCTCCTCAGCCACCCAGTCCTGGCTCACAGCAAAGGAGGGTTTGTATCTATAGGAGTCTCCAACAGATGAATTTTATTGAGAAAGGGCCCAGGATGTGTGACTGCCTGATATTTTTTTCCACGTTGTCTGAAGGCAGTCGGAGAATGTGACTGCTGTTCCCTTGGAGAGTCTTCCT